AGTTAAGCTAAAAGTGAAAGTGAGCACTGCTATTGTCTGAGCCTTTATTGTGCGTGGTTTCAAAAGAGCCTTGTTATTTAGATTTCTTTTTTAATCAGAACTAAACCTCCTCCTCTGTCCACACTGATAATTTGAAAGATAGCAGTCAATTCTGTCAAATAGTTTAGCCTTAAAATGCGACGGGACATTTGTTCAGCATTATTTGGTGAGCTCCAAAGTGCAATGGTCTTCCTATGGAAAGAAGAGGACTCCAGTCCTCAGGGCTTTTTAGAGATCTAACTACGTGAAGTGTCGAGTAGCCTCTGTCCTGTTTTTCAAGGATGAATCGATGCTTGTTCAGGAGATAGGACAAGGTGTGGGAATGTTGTTGGAGGCTGCCAAACAGTCCTACTGTATTACATGCCCAATGCTGGTCTTACTGATTTTTGCAGTTGCTTAAATAACTAGGCTAAAAACCATCTATTTTTAGTAAATCAAAACATGATTAAAATGCTGACGTTTAATATACAGTGGTTTTGGAGAACACATGAATACTTTTGTATGAGTGTGAATTGCTTTTTAAATTTGTCAGTATTACTGGTATTTTTTAAATAAAGGTAACAACTTTTTCTCTTGGCGTTCTTGTGTGGTTTAACTTTACACTTCTGTTCTTACTGGTTCACTTACCGGGTCAAAGACCATTTAAAAACGTTTGAAACTGTAATTGAGCAAACATACTTAAAATGACAAATCATGACTTTTTAAACTGAGTCTAAAATGATGGGAGAAAACAAAGTTTAAAAAATAGATTTAGATCTTCATGAAAACTGCAGTAGGAACACCTCTTGTAAACTCCTGATGTTCTCATCCTTCCCATAGTCCTCCATCCTCTCCTCAGGTACACTCTAGCGTATCAGGTTTTCTCTTTCCTCACAGGTAATATGGTGGGAGATGCCAAACTGTATCTTTATATAATCACTTCTTTTCAATAACTAGGTCTAAATGTTATTTTGAGAGTTAAACTGATTTTAAAATCCTTCAGTAGTGAACTTACTTCCAGCTTAGCCTGGTAATTTTCAGAGGCTGGTGCCAAAAGGCTGTCTGGCGGCAGAAGGATGGTCACGGCTGCGCCGTCAGACTGAGGAATGTGTGGCAAGAGGCACCGGGAGCGGGATTTGCGATGAGGCGGGGACAGGGTCTGTTGGACGCACTCCTAGAGCTGGCTGTGACAGGGTTATAGCCCACTCCAGTGTAGGAATTCCTGCCTGCTTACAGAAATGGATTTTCCCAAGCCCACAGGTGGAATTAAATTAAGATTTCTGTCCCCTGGCCTGCTTCTTGGCTCAGACTCGTTTCTCTTACTACAGAATGTTCTGAGAACAGTTTTAAGCTTACAGTCCAAGAAGCTAAAATATCTAAAAAGATCTAGGGGAGAAAGATGAATAAACTGACAAAAGTTGTGACTAACAGGAAGCATCTGCTATTTCCTTTTAACTAAAAATACAGGATTTTAAATGTTCCAAAAACAGAGCAAAACTTTCCTGTTTAAGGGCATATCATAAAGGTAACCTAGGCCTCAGGTCATCCAAGAAGGGTCTTTCCAGTCTGCAAATGGAGTTTCTGCAGCACCTGATCCTCCTGCTGCTTTTGGGGTGGGGGGGGAGGGTGGGGGGGGATGGTCAAAGGTATACATAAAATTTTCCAAGAAGCCTAAACTGGCCCTTTCCAACCTGTGCTCTCCAAACACAGGCAGGTGTCTGCAGGCACTCTCTCCCTTTTCAAGCAGTGTGTGTGTGTGTGTGTGTGTGTGTGTGTGTGTGTGTGTGTGTGTGTGTGAGTGGCTTTGTACTGTCACGTTTTCAGACAGAGCACTAACCACAACACGCAAACAATCCTGATGACACAGGAAGCTACTTACTGTGCTGAAAAAGCCTGAAATTGTTTGGGGAATTTCCATTAAAAATGCTGAGGTGTTTCTGGTCCTGAGGAGAAAAGACCAAGCACAGTGGCAACCAAAGATGTTGGTGGGTTTTTATAAGCAAGAAAATTGTTAAGTCTCCAGGTGCTCCATGAAAGTGGAAAGCAGCTGCACAGAGGAGCAGCCATGCGTGATGCCAGGGCATGAGGAAGAAGCCACAGTGCTGCCACTGTCACTGGCGGGGGGCAGCCAGCTGCCCTCCTTTGTGCAGGCTGTAAGCCCTGAGAGCTCCCAAGCAGCTCCTGCAGAGCCTCAGCCTGCAGCTGCAAAGTGCAGCAGCTCAGGAGCACACAGCAACACCATCTCATGCGCCTCAGATGTGGGCACAAGTAGTACTGGCAACTTGCTCCAGAAGACTGTGTGGATCCCATCCAAAAGGCCAGGCAATGCAGAGGAGTTGGTGTGCGCCAGCACGAGTGAAGGGAACCAAATGGCTGGCTGCTGCCTGGGCCCAGGTGAGATGCTATTAAAAATAAATTAAAAAAAAAAAAGCCCCAGGATTTTCATCTGAGTCTGTGTCTAGAGGAGCGTGGCAGAGCCATCTGCCCCACGCACAGCAGCGAACAGCCCTCCCCAGCAGCCCTTGCCTTGCCCTCTTCTTTGTAGGTTCAGTTCAAAACTGTGTGCACCCCACACCCAGATACCAAAGAGCAGCACAACAGACACTAAGTACTTGGCCACTGAACAGGAATGGGCTGCTGAAGTCACAAGAGAGCTTCTGCATTGAGCTTTGTGGCAAAGACACCCAAATGGTAGCGGAGGCCGTAAGAATACATCAGCAATTCAGCATTTTGGAGCTGGTTCTTGTTACCCACAAGTTTTTTTCCAGAGAAAGCCATTGTCCCATGCAGCTCCCCAGGAGCCACTTCTGGGTTTTGCTGTCAGGTGCTCTCGGGCCTCTGCTGCCCCCTCTGCTCTCTCTCCAGCATGTGCCTCTTCCTGAAGCAGCCACAGGCCAGGCTCTGAAGGCAAAGCCAGAGCACACACAGCTTTAGCTTCCACTGTGGGATACCCAGATTTGCCACGCAGCACTCCAGGCCCTTCGTTACAGTTTGGTCAGTAATGACTGGACATAACGCATTTTCTCTGAACAAAGCTTAATTGTCTGCATATCCACCTGGACCTGAGCAAAACATCAGCTTCAGGCTGACAGATACTCAGCGCTTGCTTGTCAATCCTCATTCGACCTGCTGACAGGACTTGGCCCCAGGGCCTTTTCCACTGTGTCCCCACCCTGCCTTACACAGCCTGGTGCTCCCCTGCCTTTGACCTTGATGTGAATGCCAAGCACAAATGCCTCTAGCCTCCTCCCCACAGGGGAGAACTTACCCCTCAGCCTTTCATTTAATGCCCCTGGAAAGCAAATCCATTCTTTTTTCCAAGAAACAAATGAGGCATTGAAGCCATTTATCTTCCTCTCAACTTCAGCTAAAAGTAAATGGCAAAAGAAGGAATGATAATTGAGATCTTTTTGAGCTCATCAGAGCTGTTGTTGGAGCCAAACCACACTGAACTGCTGAGCAGTTCTCCCACAGATTGCAGCGATGGAGGCTGCCACACACACCCCCTAAGCGATCCACTGCGGGGCTGAGCCTTGCTGGTCACAAGAAATACCCAAAGTTCTGGGGCAAATTTCATCACCGTCACTGTAGTTTCCTCCTCACCACTCCCAAAACCTGGACCTTGAAATCTCAACCCCCTGCCCCATCACCAGTAAAGAAGTCCCCAGGAATGTAGAAGCAGGGACCTAGACTAGGAAACCTTAGCCCTTCAGCTACTGCTTTACTTCCCAACCTCCTCACCTCATCTCCTCACCTGGAAGCAGAGGTCCAGGCCCTGCCAAAGGTGCAGCGGTGCCAGGGAGGGAGCTCTGAATCACTGCCTCAGAAAACCCAACTCCTCCAGCCTCTCTGCAGGGATTGCCAGGCAGGAGAGTTGCTCTCCTGGCGCACTCAGCACAGTGCGAGGCCGCTGACCCTCAGGCCATGAGCCTGGCAGCCCCCGCACAGCGCTTTGTTCTGCGTAATATGAGGTCAGAAAAGAGACAAACGGGTCATGTCTGTAAAGCTTTCTGTAGCCAACTGGGCTGTTGAGGCCAGTGATGCACCTGCTGAGCTAATAATCCACGGGCTGCAAGCAGGGACTTCTACACGCTGGAAGGATGCAAACTGAGCAGCAAACAAGCCAGCTGCAGTCAGAAGGAGTGTGAAGGATGTAGAACCTTTTTTTGCCCCATGGATGGGGACATGAGCCCAGGGGAGACGGCTGGCCAAGATGGTCTGAGAAGTATGGGCACACAGGCAGCTCCTGGGAATGTGGGAATAACGGAAAGAACAACACACCATACTAGCTAAAATCTTCTCTTACATCAGGGATATGGGTGTTTTGCCTTAAGCCTCTTTCCGGCGCCGCTGGAGCTATATCCCACGAGCACCAAGGCAGGAGCTGGGATAACCAGCCACACAATATGAAGTAAGAAAGGGGAATCTCCAAAGGAAAAGGGAGCAACTTTCCCCTGACCACTGACAGCATTCAATCTGAAGAGTGAAGCTTATGATACGACACAGCAGAATGCCCCAACAGCATTGGGGTCACTCTGTCACAGAATTCTATATAAAGTAAAAGTGTGTCAAAGCCTGCAGGCAAGATGTGGCTCCTGTTACATAACACTTTTTTTATAGTGCACAGCGTTTTTGGTACCACAGAGGTCCAGGTACTCAGTGGTAATTTACTTTTTAAAAATTAAAAGTTCAGCAAATAGTTTTGTACCATTTTCCCAGCCAAGAAACTATGCAATTAACAGACAAATCACACTGAACAGTTGCTTGATCAGCTCAAATTTATTGTAAAAAGTAATTACACATGCAAAAATTTCATACCTGTTTCTCGAAAGATTGTATCCAGTATAGAAATGCTGGGCTTTACCGACTTCTTTAAAATTAAACTGCCGTGCTCTCCAACATGCTTACCAATGGCAATGTGCAGGGATATTAGAAATATAAAGCTGTACAGTCTACACCACAAAAAAAATAATAATGACTGATTAAAATGGAGTAATAGTCAGAGCAGGAAGAAAGGAGCGGTGGCTTTGAATTCTGTCAAGAAGTTTTTCTGCCACAGGTTTGAATTCTCTTTCCCAGTACAGTTTGTGGCAGACATCATCTCTGTCGAGGCTGGAATCCAACGCCAGCTCTTCATCTGTAATCAAGGAAAATATCATTATCAGTTCTCAATAAAAATATACCCAACCATGTATTTTTTTGGCCACTGTACATACAACTTATCAGTTGCGTATGTTGGTGGCTTAAAAACAACTCTATGGTTAACTGAGTATCCCTGTCTGAGGGACTTGGCTTTAACTGCAAATGAAGAGTGTTAAGGTCAGTCAAACAGTAAGAAGGGTATCGCAGGCTCTATTACTCTTACATCTCACAGGGGTGGCTAAACTCTGTCTCCAAGATCAGGCATTTACTGTGACTGTCAGCCTGGAAGCTCCTCAGATTATAACATTACTGGCAGCAGAAATGTGTGCTAACAGAAGTAATCACATTCTTCTAACTACAACTAGGTTTTTCCCATCACAAATTGCTTTGCTAATCTGGTTCACAAAGACTTTTTCAAACTATATCTGCTATCATACAAAGAATATGAACGATGCTGGTTACTGCATTTCTGATGCCCTTCCTTCCTCACAGACTTCATAAATAAAATAACAGGACACTCTTAATAGAGACAAGCAATGTTAGGAATGAAAGGAAGTCATCACTTGTTCTTCCCCCTCCATCTTGCCTGGCATTGGATGTGACAAAGAAACAAACCCTTACAGAAAAAAGAAACCAGTCTGCAACCAGAAGCAAGCTCCTGAATCAGGAATCTACAAACACAACTGATAATGCTGAACAAATGTTTTCATACAGTGTAACAGAAGGTATTTGACAGCCTTTAGGCTTAGTCATAAACAGACTTACAATGAAGATACAGTCCTGCACCCAGTGGGCAGTGTGACTTAACTTTGTCTGGACTATGAAAGAGCACCAGATTCACCATCTGCTAAACAAGTAACTCCATAAGGGAGCTCACTGCACATCACAGCAGGTAAAGGACAACTCGGAGCTGAAGAGAAACTTCTGCTACCCACATTTTGAGTCAAACTGTGTGTGGAAAAGAGATGCTCAAACAGCAGCCATCCCCATTTAAGAGAATGGCAAGGTGCCTATGCAGAGCACACGGCCCGAGCTGCAGCAGCTGTGAAGGAAGAGATGCCATTACTCTTGCATGGAGATGGGCTCCATTTCATGGAGTTACCAGTAGCTGCCAATGGTACTTAACTTCAGAAGCACTACAGAGTTTCTAAATTATCAAAATTAAAGAGATGCTGATTGTGAGGTGGATTCTGAATGGGGTTCTGCATAAAGAGAAGATGACATTTAGAAGCTTTCTGTAATAAAGAGAAAAATATATATATATATTCTTTCCAGAAGGAAAACATGTCATATCTCTGCAGGAAGAAACCCTGTAATCCAAGATAAAATCCAGCCTCAGACATCAGATCTATATTTGATGGTATCACAGAATAATTTAGGTTGGAGAGGACCTCGGGAGCAGAGCCACCATAGATCAGGTTGCTCTGGTCCACTTACTGTCGAGTAGTGAACATCTCTGAGGATCTCAGCCCCCTGCCATAGTGGAAACTTATTTTCCCAATACGTAATTGGAATTTTTCCTTAGTGCAATTTGTGCCCATTAGCTCTTGTTCTATCAGTGGCACAGTAGCCCAACATATGTAAAATAAATCTCAGCAGCAGAAAAGTGAGAGACCCTGAAGAGGAAGATAAGGGATTATGGTTTTTGTTTTCAGGCAGAATTGCTTTGCCTACTCCTGAAATAATTTTTCTACCCAAATTAACTATCTTTTAACACAAAACAAGAGAGGTTTCTCCCTGTCAGTGAGCAGCTGTGCCCCCTAGAATTGATTGAATGTTTATGGAATCACTGACGTTGGGAATTCCAGCCAACAAGAACAAGGGTCAGACCAGTTCAAAAGCTGAAGTGTTAAACCAGAACAATAAATTTCCCGAAGCAGAATGTGAGTAACACTGGGGATTAGTGAGGAGCAGTGTCCCACATTCAAGCTGTGCATCCTCAGATTATTTAATTTTCCCACGACCCTCCTCAAAACTATTGGGTATTGGCCAAACAACATATGAATTGGCTGCAAGCCTAGGAACAAGACAAGCACACGGGGCCTGCATGCTATGGGGGAAGCTGAAAACTAGAGTACAGACTCTAGTCTGCAAGGGGCACCCATCCCTATAACTGACAAGGCAGGGGCCAGGAGCCCTGGAAGCTAGTATCATGCCATATAAGAGTTCACATGCGCTGAGATTCCAAAATAACCTCCTGTAATTGATAGTGGAGGCAAAGGTGAGCAGAGGAAAAGTCTGAAAAAAGAGAGGGAGAAAGGAGATTTCGCTGAATGACCAAACAGAAGAATGTTCTCAAGACAGACGCTCATCTCCACTGCTGCTCCTGAGGGACCAGGGCAAGGCCAAGCTGCTGCCAGAGGCCTGGAAACGCCAACCTCCAGGAGCTCTGAGCCAGTAAAGTGACATGAGACTCACGAGCAGCTGAAAGAAGGCAAATGACAGTGCCATTGGAAAGCAGCGCCACTGCGCCTCAGGCTGCTGGGATCCGGCACCGGCAGTGAAAGAGAAAACAAATGGCCCCGTTTGTCCAGCCTTCCTCAGGCCCAACATCTTTTCAGGCCATTTCCACTCCCTTTTGGCTCCCTCATGTCTTCTGTCATCTTGTGCCAGGTAGGGGAAAGAAAAATAAAGGGGAGGAGGCCAAGCACAGCAGGTGGAGTGAGGTGTCTGCTGTGCCATGCTCCACTTTTTCCGCTTCCTGAGGGCGTGCTGACGCTTAAGTACAGTCCACCGAGTGTCAGCAGTTGCCTCCTGCTTCCTGAATGATAGAATCAGAGCAGTGACGGTTCAAGGCTGTCACTGGATACAATGGGAGGAGGAAGATGCAGGACAATATTAACCAGCTGCTATTACTGAAAGCTGTTGGCTCTTAACACACAGGGAAAACAGATCCAATGAATAGGATGCATTTTTTTTACAGCTACTCTTCTGACTACAGTGTGAAGAAAGATTAGCCTTCTGATTTAATTCTGACCTGGTTTTAATTAATTTTCATTACAGTTGCATTACAATTGCAATTGTAACTGCTCTTGCAATTGTACATGAACTTCCAGTTCACAAAAGCTGTATTGGTTAATGAGTTACAATTACTACCCAGCCCGGACTCTGCAGTCAAATTAATGGCTGGAATAAGCAGCATTACATACAGAGGAAAACACAAGTGAGAGTTTTCCAAAACAAAGATATATATTCCTTGCTTCATGCCAGAAAATTCAAGTGTGATTGTGGCTGGAAATTTGCAGTTCTGTTGCAGCATGTTAAAAAGTGCACTAATGATCTTGAAACATTGAGTATTTTCAGATAAACAGACGGAATTGCTGCCCACATTAAGATATGCTCCATCATAAAAAGGAAGGTAATGCAAGGAATGATTACAACAATGAATCACAGTAATTCTGCTGTAACTGGAAAAAAAATCCTCACAAATCCACCCACTTTTCTGACTGTCTAAAAACAAAAGAGATCATGGGGATCTCACTTTCTATCCCAGTCTGACTAACGTGCAGCCTTCTCCACAGCAAGCATACATCTTTAGTAAATTTCTAATTAAAACCAAACCAAAATTAGTTAATGTTTGCTTCAATTTCTTTTACATTTTCAAAAAGATAATTGCAAATGACCTACCCAAAATAAAATCATACCCAATGCAGTGCTCATAAAATAAAGGAGGAAAATTAAATAGAGGGACTACTATAGGACTATTACATAGCAATTAAACTCTGTAGAATTTGAAGGAAACATAAATGTGCAGATGAAAAGATCCAACTGGGTAAGTGAGTCAGGGTCTTAACACTCACTTGTAGACACCACAGCCTGTATTTGCAGAGGAACGCACCCCCCCTAGCTTTAGGGAGCAGATGAGAAATTGTCAGGATGTTGTCCCTGCCCACAAGATCGTGCTGAGAAAAGAAGGGCAGCCAAGGGACTCTTGTCACAAGCAGCAAGCTCAGCCTGTTGCACCACAGGGCCCTCCAACTATGGGGAAAAGCCTCGTCCCCCAGACTGCCTGGCCTGTGCTGTGCAGTAACCGGGTGCGTCAGAGCTGAGCCCCGGCTCCTGTCGGCACCTGCCGTGACCTCTGAGGCCGGAAGGGCCCACATCCAGCGAAAGGTCTACGGGATAGTTGGCTCAAGCAGACAAAAAGGCAGCTGGTGAAAAGCTGCTAACTCACCAGACGAGAGTGGGGAGTGACAGTGGCCAATTCCACCTTGGCAGTCTGTTAGATCCGAGGGAACGTGCTGAATGGCAAGAGACCACCGTGTTGCTGGAGAGTCTACACTGGACAACCACTCAAAGCTGCACGATAGACTCGCCACCCAAGCTAATAACTGCTTTGATTTTGCTCCTCCTCTTTCTCTTATTAAGGAAGAGAGGAACCAAGATTATGAATCTCACCTAAGAGTGATGTGAGCAGCTCCAGCAACGTGTCAGTATCTTCTCCAAAGCAAGAGGCTGTACTTGTGATGTTTTCACTGTAGTTCCACAGGGTTTTGCATATCAAACAAGCCAGCTGCCAGTCAGATGGCCCAAAGTCTCGTAAACAGTCAACTAACCTGTCAGTATAAAACAAAACCAGTGTTTGGCTCCATGTAGTTTTCTCCTGAGCCCTTCAAAATCTAGGCAGTCTAGAAACATATGTGGACTCCATGAAAGTTTGCAGGAAAATTCTACATAAATAAACATAAGATGCTACTTTCTTCCTCAGTAACTTCCCCCTCTGCATTTAGTCTCGTTCCCTAAGGATGTGAACATGCCTTTTTTCTACACGTATGTACGTATGCCTGCCTGCACCTGTCCATCCCCTATAACTTGTTAACCCCACTGACCAATTTCAATCACATCCATCACAAATGTAACCCATCTCAAAGACACTAAAATTTCAACAAATTTCATGCCAATCTGTGACTGCCCCAAATCTGTGGCTACCACTAGAGCAGAGATTGCAATGGGAGCCAAACCTTATCAGGTACCATGAATTCATCTAGAAAAGATGGTATGAATGCAGAAAAAGCTTCAGTCAGAACAGCCAGCTTATTATACATCAGAGGATCTGACCAGAAGACAAATCCAAAGGAATTCACTACTTCCATGACTCACAGAACTACTTCTTACGTTCAGTGAAGTCTGACTGTTTTGCAGATCTCGCCTCTTCTTGTATTTCCTCAGTCTGCACTCCCAATGGGCTCCTCTCAGAAATGTCAGCTTTAGTAAGGACTGTTAGGTTCCTGACCTTTCTTCTGATCTCACTTCCTTGCAAATACCAAATGCAGGCTAGATCAAAAGCAGGACTCTGAAATTAAGCTATCATTTTTCTGCCTGCACCAGCTCATGTACAGTAGCTATCCAGAGTTCCAAACAGCAGTGTTCACAAGTCCTGGGGCAGCAAAAGCGAACACTGTTTCTCACCTGATGTCCCTAGTGACCTCTCCAATAGTGATCCTTCACTGTCATAGTAATCCCAACCCTACGACCCCCTTTCCCTCACTTCTCTACTTCACTGTGAGATCTATAATCTGGTGATTAGTAAAGGGAACATGGGATGACTATTACATTCAGGTATGGATGAAAATAGCAGTCATTGAAAAGCAACCAAATAGAGGTTTGTTTTTTTCTCTCCTCTCTGAAGGCAGTCATAGTGGAAGACTGGGAGGCATCTAATGAAAAGCCAAAAGAACTTGCCCTAATTTTTTGAAGTTTAACTCTCTAATGAGACTAATTCCATGTTTTATTAGGGTCACTATATATTGGTACAATAACCTCATTTCCAAAAATCCACAGAGCTGGTTTGGCACAGTCACGGTGACCTCTTTACAATCACTTTCAAATTCTCTAGATTTATTCCATACTGTTACTGTTTTTCCTTCCTTCTTCACAAATTTTCAGATAGACTCTAGAAAATTATATATTCTGTATGATTCTGTATTCTACAGATTATTCTATATAATAGCAATTTCTCACATTTATTGTTCAATTTGCCTGTAACTTATTTTTATTCCTCTTTTTCGGCTTTATATGTTGTAAGTTGGCTAGAACATGGGAAGGATGAGCAGGCTGTGCACTGTTTACATTGTATAAAAAATTAATTATATGGTGTATGAACAGGAGAGCATTTCAAAGTTAGGCATATTGTTTCATAAATGTGGGTTGTATCAACTGCTTTACAAGCATAGGAACATGATCTTTCATGTTGTTCCAATTAAGCTGGATCCGCTATTATCTGAACATCAAAGCCACAAGTGTTGCATCCACAGTGGTTTTTCAAGATCTAACACCACTTACAGTACAAGCGCCTTAAAACTGAACTCTTGGAGAGAGGAGTCTCAGGAGCTATTTATCCTCTGCCAAGCACAGCTACACCAGGGAGCTCTCCCTGCAGTACTAAGCAGTTACAAAAACTGCAAGATACCCATGTGGGGTATCATAGTTCTTGAAGTAATCTTCACACTTCCAACAGATACACATTAATGGTGCCTATTACCTGTGGCCCACAGAGGATCCAGTTAAATCCATCCATAAATCCAGTTAAATGGCAAAGCCATGCCGTTGCTTTGTTGTACGGTCCTCTCCTCTGCTGTGTGTATATAAAGAGGATCTTTGGGAAATTATTCTATGGGTTCTTGGCTCTGCAGTAGGCTAAACCACTGTAATGCTTTTGCAAAAAACCTATGAAATAATATGAAAGGCTTTTTCTTGAAGAACATTAGATGCAGAATATCTATTAAGTATTTATCCTTATTACAAGTTATTGGCTCCAATAAAAAAGAATCTGATTGAAACCTTTGGCCAAACTACTGGAATTTGCCTTTTTTGTAAGCATAATCAGAAACTTACTTTCCAATTCCTCCTTCTTGCATCAGAAGAGCTCGTTTGTTCTTATCCACTGTGAGATTGAGCAGAACTCCACAGGCAGAAAAACAGACATCTTGGTTCTTGGCATCAAGTAAAGCAATGACAAACTTGTATACTGGATTGTAAAGGAAACAATATTAGTGGGAAGATGGACTTACCATACAAGTGGCATTACAACATACTTATTAAACGTGCATACTCAGAAAGCAGTCAAATACAGGATACCCTACCCAAAAATTTGACATTGTGGTGTATTACTGTGACACTGTAGAACAGCAGTATGAGACAGAGTAACAGGCGTTATTACATCACGTTGAACAACAGCTTTCTTCAACACATACAAAATTCTAGTTATAAAAATACATCAAAGTAATGTGAAAACCCAGTCAGAAGAGGTTAAGCTCATGGAACTGAATTACAGCTTATTTCTTAAAAGTATCACCCTCCTTTCAATCAGAGTCAGCAGAAACAGCTAGGATTTGGCATTTGGCACTCAGAGAAGGAAGTTCTTACCCCTGAGAGTAGCAGGGTTGCCCTAGACTGTCCCAAGTCCAGCTGGGATTGCTGTAGCCTGGGGCTCCTGCGGGAGATGGGCAAGAAGCAGATGCTGGACGTCCAGCATCTTGCAGCACTTGGCAAGTGGAAGGCAACCCCAGCAAGAGAGTCAGTCTTGCCTAATGGAGAGGCAGCCCCTCAGCTCTTCCTGAGCTCAGCGCACCACCGCGGTGGAAAATTTAGTTCTTGGACTGAGATAGCTCATCAGCAACCAGCTACTAAGTGTCAGTTCTCCCTTTGTGGATACCTGCTCCTTCAAAAGTGGTGATACATCCACCCTTGAAAGAAGGGGTTGTATATTGTGGCATATCACAGCACTTTGAGCACTGACAGGTAGATACAAAATATTTATGATGACCTGGTGTTTAATGAAACCTATGACACACCTTCGTAGATAGCAAGGAGTTGCCATTTTTCCCTAAGCTCTTTAGACACCCAAAGCAAAAAGACTTGAGAAGACTTGTATCCTACTACACACCCAGAGGCAAACAGGAGGTCTCTTTGTTGAGGCAGTCAAACATCTTAAATATTACAAAGCACTAAAAAGTTGTTGAACATAGGAATCAAAACCTTCTGATTATGAACCTAAATGAGAATTAAGTTGGATTTTCATTTTATGTCATATCACTACCAACCTGCAGGACTTTAGAAATTAAAGGAGTGAAGGGAAATTAAAAAATTATAACTTTTAGGAAAAACAGAGATTTTTGTAGTATTTACCTATGTGCAGGCACACATTTTCCCTTCACATTGTGAAGGCACATTTTCCCTACAGCAATATTTCCATTTTAATGAAATTGAAATAAAATGGTGTTTATAATGACCACTATTGGATTCAAACATTTGCCTAATTTGTAAAACATCAGAGAAGATTGCTTCTACCCTTTAACTGAGACAGCTTATTAAGAGTCTTTCCTTTTTAGAACTATGGACATTTAAAAACAGGACTCCTACAAATGCAAAGTAACTCACTCTTTTTCTGTACGATGAAGTCACAGATCTCATGACACTGGGAAAGATTGCCAAAGACTCTGACAGCCTCCACAACTCCATCCATATTGTTGCTCATTAACAGCTTTAAAAGCACTATTGGTTTGCAGAAAAATTAAATAAAAACAATTACTTGTATATCACAAACATGTGCTTGGCTTTTTAGCAATAAAATCAGAATGCAAGCAGCAACAGCAATAAATGTAATAAATGGGAACAGTTATCTAACTGTCTGGTTGCAGTGAAGGGGGTGAGCAGATGGTAGAACAAGAGCTAAATTGTGTAGGGCTTTGAAGACAAGACAAAGAGCTCCAATATGGGGCTAAATGCAAAGGAACAGATGAGGAGTTATGAAGATAGCCTAAGCATAGTTGTAACAATGGGACCCAGTCTCGCAATACAGTTTTGAGTGGGCTCATGTGAAAATCCAGGAAGAAAAAGAAGAAAAAAAAAGTTGTAATATGGAAGAGAATTAATTTAGATCCTGAATAGATGGTCTTATGGTTGGATGTCTCCTAAAATTCCAATTATTTTCTGACACTGGCTCTATTTTCTCTCAGTGCTGCTATAACATTTTCTCTGAACAACTACTTAATATTGCCCCTGGTCTGAAGCATTTACTTTGCTGCTTTCCTGCTTAGCAATTTCACATACAATTAGTGTGTAACTTCAGCAGATAGAATGAGACCTTCAGCATTTCCTAGGAAGAGCTACCATCATGCAGGTTTTTGGTGTATGTCAAAGGAGCCATCTTACAGAAGTTACATTTATCAGTCTTTCGTGAGTATGAAGTGAACGACTGAAATCAGTCCGTCATATAAAGGACTCAAATCAGTGAAGCCTTAATCCTTCTTCCACAAAAAATGAGAGGAAAAAAATATAGAAAAGAGGTTGGTTTTGTTCCCATTACTTCCATCTTTGAATGTTGCAATACTGAACATGCCTTGAACTTGTCTTAAAGAGACATCTGAAATTATTATTTTATTGTCTTTGGCATCCACCAGTTGTAGCAAACAGCAAGTATTCTCAAAGTGTCTCCTGAAGGAGGAAGCCTGCTGGTCTTCCATCAAAAGGTTTTCTCTCTCCTCAGTTCAGGCAGAAGAAAGGTGAGGGGATTGGTTCCACATGCTAACACAATAAAAACAGGAGAGGGAGACCAAATGGGGCAGGCAGAGAAAACATTTGTTTCCACATTTGTCTGACTAGCAATAAGAGACAGCTGGCCTATGGGTGAGAAAACAACTCATGGCGGAACAGCACAACTGTTATCTAGAGAGAGGATGACGTCTATGAGTCAGGGCACTTAGGATGACAGCCAAAATACTTTTTTCCTACTCATTCTACCTGTTGTGTGAACTTCAGAGTGCGTCTCTCCCCCATGTCTTGTCTATTTAGAGAGTAAGTTATGCAAGAGACAGACTCTCTACCTTTTTTATAACATTAACACAATGAGTCCCAGAACTCTGATGCAGATCCCTCACATCACCGAAGTATGACTATTGTCCATACTATCAGGCAGGAGAGAATCATACAACTCCTATACTGCCTGTGGATTTATAAGCCAGGAACAGACATAAATCAGATTTTGCAGGTCCAGAAGATACTACAAAGAAAAAAAAACTTTCTTACCATACCCTGTTTAGAAGTAAAAAGCAACATGATTACTTCAGTTCAGGCATATGGATTTTGAACAAGTCTAGCAAAAATTGCTAAATAGAAAACAATATGTCAAATTCCTTTGGGGAGGAAAAGCAGGGGGTTTGTCAACAACTTAACTATTTTCACACAAGTCATAGCATTATGTTCCAAAAGAATGAGAAATCATTATGGGAAGAATTTAGCTCTATGAACTTTATATTCCTACAGTATAATACCACAAAACACTATCAGTGTCTTTATTTTCTGTAGTGTCACAATATAGCATGAATAACTGCTATGTAAAAAGTACTAGTTTAAAAGTCCTTACTTTCAGCAATGTGTAGCTTCCTGTCTTGAACAGCAGAACTCTTCACTTTGTAGTAGGATAAATTGTTGATTGTTGTTGCAGCATTAACGACCAACTCCTCACAGTCATCAACTGACTTGTATTCTGATAGTAAAAAAAACCAAAACCAAACCACATATGCATATGTAGATACACACACACAAGTTAAGTCTAACTTAGCAATGCATTATAGCTCAGAAGCAAACTGAAACATAGTTTACATGGCCACTATTACAGACAACTGCTCTGTTTATCAGTAAAATGGCAGAAACTGAGTACTGTGTTCAGCTCTGGGCCCCTCAGTTCAGGAAGGACATTGAGGTGCTGGAGCGGGTCCAGAGAAGAGCAACGAGGCTGGTGAAGGGACTTGAGCACAAGTCCTATGAGGAGAGGCTGAGGGAGCTGGGGTTGTTTAGTCTGGAGAAGAGAAGGCTTAGAGGTGACCTCATCACTCTCTTCAACTACCTGAAGGGAGGTTATAGCCAGGTGGGGGTTGGTCTCTTCTCCCAGGCAACCAACAATAGGACAAGGGGGCATGGGGTCAAGCTCTGCCAGGGGAGGTTTAGGTTAGATGTTAGGAAGAAATTCTTTACAGAGAGGGTAATCAGGCACTGGAACGGCCTGCCCAGAGAGGTGGTGGATTCACCATCCCTGGAGGTTTTTAAAAAGAGATTGGATGTGGCCCTTAGTGCCATGATATAGTAATTGGAGTTGGATCAGGGGTTGGACTTGATGATCTTGGAGGTCTTTTCCAACCCAATCTATTCTATGATTCTATGAAACTAACAGGAACAGCTGATCCAAAAATGGCAACACAAAGTCACTCTTTTCAACTCTTCATCTACAGAAAACATTGTGACGAAGGCAAGATGAGGTTTAAAATCTAGTTAGTTAAGACATTTTACATATCCTATTTGTTCTTTCAAAATGTAAAATAAAATAGGTCTGTGTGACAGACGCAGAGACATATCAAGGACTATTATACTGAAATGCCAGGTACCATGAAAAACTGGGGGGAGAGGAAAAAGCAGTCTTTAACGATGTTTGAAAAATTCTCTTTCTTTGAGTTCCTGACAGAACATTAACCAGTGTAAAATTACATCAGCAAGTCTGAAACTTGTGTATACTGACTTATCTGAGGTTTCTGGCCTCAGAAACCAAGAGTGAAGAAAATAAAAGAGCAGTAAATTCATAGGGAGAGAGAACATTTTGTAGTTAACTAACTGATACGGTGTTCAGGAAGAAGGGAGGGTGGCAGAGAGAAGCTCTGAGGCTCAAAAGCACTTACACAATGATTAAGACAGTTCCAACCCAGGAAGCTCCTACAGGGCTTAAGACAGAAGAGACAAAATTGTGAACCTGCCTTCTCTAATCCCCCACTGGCTGGTGGGTAAGACTGCTAAAATAGCATATAATCAGGTTGATTGTCTTTACATAATATTTATCATTCTTCTCACATACTAAGTATATGTTATATGTATGTTCTTTAAGATGTATCTTGTCACTGCCAAACTGTTATGGGGAGAACAGACTGCCTAGACCTTGCCTATAATTAGTTTTACAAAAGGATCAGCAAGTGGTAAAGAAACTGCAGTCCTAAGTCTCCGTTTGGAGGGAAAGGGACACCCCTTTCCACTTAAAGGACATAAAGGATGGAAATCTGAAAAGGAAGAAAAAATAAGATGTGCAGGGAACAAAAAGAATACTTAATCCAGAACAGTCACAAAACCTGTAAACCTTAAAAAAAACCGAACCACCAAATACATGTATGAAGCACCTGATAAGAACAGGCTTTCCTTATATATGAACTCTGAGATGTATTTAAAATAAAATTTGTTTTCTTATCCTTAATGATCATATCTGCAAATCCACCACTGAATGAAACACTTCTACAATGCCTTTCCCCAGACACTGAAAAGTCAGTACCAAAGCAGCAATGCTTCCACTGTCTCAAAGGAGCTTTCTACGTAGAACAGTTTATAAATATCAGCAGCCTGACTTTGTTATTTTAGCAGTGGAACCAATTTAGTTATAGCTCAACCTAGATAAGAAGGTCAAATAGAAAAATTCTAAATTCTCCTTACAGACTGAACAAAGATAACACACACGGCGTAGATTTTATTACCTAGTACTGTAACAAGTAATTCTACAACACGATGGGCGGCTGCCAGAGCTGCTCCTACACTGGGATGAATGGAGAGATTGGCCAGCACTCTTATCAGTTTTATCAGAACATCTTCTGCTTCTGAAGGATGCTTGGGGTGGTTTTTTCCTTCTCCTCCTCTTTCATGGTACCTTTTCTGTGTATTCAGATCAAGTTCATGGTAGGTTTGGAATAATGATATCAAGGTGTTAACACTTCCTTTTTCTTTAAAAAATTGCTCACGGGCTTGGTTATTCTTTTCTGTTAAATTACCAAGAATGAAGATGATACGGACAACCAAATCCTGCAATAAAATAAATAAACCATATTACACAGAAAACATCAGAATCTATTAGCTGCTTAAAATAAATAGAATACTTAATCTGCTTCACAATTCAGTTAACAGCCAGTGCAGAACAACTGAAGGAATGCCAAATACAGCAACTAGATATAATTTTTATGCTACTATTTTTTCCATAACCCAGTTTACAGAAGAAATTAAAAACATCTGAGAGAACTAGTATAGCATTGGGGTAATTACTAATGGGATATACTTAGTATGGGTCATCTATTTTTACCAAGCCCACAGTAATCTTAAAACATCTTTAAACAGCACTTTATATAACTGGAATGATCATATGGGCCAGAGTTTACTAATCTTCAAGTAAGCAAATGTCAGTTGTGATGGCCAAAGACCACCACCTTCCCTTCTTCTCTAAGCCTGTTACCCACTGTAGAGGTTAAACTACTTCCCCTTGATTTGTTACTTTTAAATCCATGTTAGCTCTTACTCATTTCCTTGTTAAGTCCAATTGCTTAGAGGTACCTGAATTATTTGTTCCAGATTTTTACCAGGAATATAATCTAAACTGATCAGTCTGTTATACTCCAAATTCCTTCTCTTTCTCCTTTTAAAGACAGGTGCCCTACAGCCTTGCCATCCCACCTAACTTTTCAAGAATCCCAGAGACATTACCCCTTTCTGGCCTTTTCTAAACACCGAAGGGTAAATTTCATCAGGCCTAGTTTGAAGTTTGAAGACACTTAAATATGTTCCAGCTCATTTTTTAGTGGTAAAAGAACCCAGGCTAAAGTAGAGATTAATCATTTGATCATGCTTAACCTTTCAGAAAAAGAAGCAAAAAAAAGGCATTCCACACTTCATTATTCACAGTGGCATCTGTCAATAACTCTCATCATCTTCTGAACACTGCCACAATTATTTCCTTATTGTCTTCTCACATTTATGTACTATAGAAAGTTTTCTTGTTTCTTTTTACATCCCTTTCTAGTTGCATCTCATTTTGTGCTCTTTTTTTTTCTGATTTTGATTTTGTGTTCTTGCTATCCTTTTATTCTTATCATTGCTAAATGAGACCTACTTTCTATTTTTATATGGTATCTTGAGGTCTATGATTTAGCCAAGTTGCTCTCTTAAAGCACTTTCTATCCCTGCCCTTCAGTGGGATATAGAATTACATCTCTTGTTGCTTCATTTTGGACATACTGAGAAATGGCCTCTTTTTTTTTTTGGCAAGACTAGTGGATCCTAACTGAATGGCACTCAACAACATTCCCAGCTTTTTCTTACCCACCTGTATAGAAGAAGAAGAAAATAAAGTCTGAAAGGCTGAATTAACTCAAGTATAAACTAATTAAAACATTTTCCTCTGTCACCTACATTAAAACCTACTTATTTCCAAAAATAAAAGTCCATAGCTTTATCTTAACAGTGCAGGTAAAGTAACAGCATTTCTTCAAGTGCAGCACAGCCATCTACCTGTAGCTGCTAAACTGCTGCACTTGCACTAACCTTGAATTTTGCTAAACAATTTACATGCCTTTTTTCTTCAAATAGTTAAAGCTTCTTCAATAGCCATATTCACAGATACTCTAATCCTCCCTGGTATTAATAACAAGTTCACCAGGCACAGCCCAACTTGTTAAAGTATGTATAGTAATACTGAAGGAAAAAAGATGTGTAAGCAGTGAATCCTTCTTTCATACATGCCTTCATCAATAAGTTTCAGGCCTTAAGCCTCTACCACAAGACATTGACAAGAACATCCTCTGAGGGTCAAGAAGATGAATGCTATCCCCAAATATGAGAAGCAGGCAGTCTTCTAAATGAGGAACAGGTTCTTGCATCCATGTATTTAATATGATCCATGTATTTAATATGATCACTCATGCCACAGGACCCACTTCCACTGTTTTTTAATTAGGCATCATATTTTTGCTAGCATCTAAATGTCATCGAGACACGTTTTTATGAACATTCTTACTGACTAACCACTAAGAGCTTTCACCTTTGCTGGCACAACCCCCAATTCACAAAGGCTGTAAGAATTTGAAACAAACAACTGATGAATCAGAAGAGAGAACTGAAAAAAGCAGGCAGTCTAGTTTGACTCGTTTATATTGACTTTCTAATTTTGGTCAAAACAGTATCAGCCCAGCAACAGCTCTGCCCAATCAGAAAACAGACAAACAGGTACCATACAGCAATCAACTGGTATTTTGAGAAGTGTGATCTCAACTGTGCTTTCCACCTACAGGCTAGCAAAACAAACTTAAAAAATACTTCTTTTTAGCTAAGCATATCCGGTTTTAATCGCACAGTACTGAAGTTTCATTATCTTCCAGTGAAAATTTAACTAGCAGAGTCAAAGAAAAAAGCTGGTACAACTACGCCTGAGTAGCATAATACTCTATTAGGTTTCATATTATTTTTTGCTATTTTTTTTAATATTCATAGGGTAAGCACTGACAGAGTAAGAAACACCAGGTTAGAATTGCTGTGTAAAGAAATACAGGTAAAGATGAATGGCATTTTGAAACTGCTTGCAAGACTAAACCTGTACAAGGCCCATGGGTCTTTCTGTACATAATGAAAAAATCAGTATAATAAATGAGATTATTATGCATCTCCAAACATTGGAAGTATTAAGTGCAGAAGGAATTTCAGACATTCTTGCACACTTACAGAAATATTAACTTACTAGTCATTCAACAGATTAATTTATATAACACAGAGGTTTTAACACTCAAGACAAATTAGATTAAAGATAGGAATTACACTCACTCCGTTATTTCATCTTTTTGTAACAAGGCATTCATGTGAGACACGCTGTCCACAGAGTGCACCCAACCTGATTGGAAGGTTATGTATGAGACCACACAGCTTCACTTATACAAACAAATTTGAAGAAACATATCAAGAAAAGCTCCAGAATGAAAACTGATTTTTTTCTTTGAAGAAACTGGGGTTGGGTTTTTTTGTTTGTTCATTTGGAGTTTTTTTAGTGGTAATGGAACCACATACTCCATCAGCATTTAACTCTTATTTTTCTGACAACTGGAACCATATAAGTTTGACCACTGATAGTAAATATTTCTTTGCTTATCTACTTCTAAAAATCTAATCCTAGTAGCAAAGGTACCCAATGTACTTGGTGAGTCATAGAACTTGACAGCAGTTTATCTTGGCAATTAAAATGCACCTGCCTTTCAGTGTAAAGCATGATGAACGGAGGTACAAATAGTACAGGTTTACTAATCGGTAAGAAAGAAATTACTGACCTCATTGGCTTTCCTAACTAAAACAAGTCAAATAAGGGAGGGGAGTCCATTCTAGAGTTTGTACACATTGGCCAAGTACCTGTTGTTAAGTTTATTTGGTATCTGGACCCTCAGACAAAAAAAAAACCAAAACAGATTCCAGAAGCTTAGTTCCCATTGAATCTCCAGCTGCAAATGAAATGTGCTTTCCATGTTATGCAAACTTCAACAGAGGTAGTCAAAATTCTACCACCTGCCCAGCAGTATAGACTGCTTCTAGGGCTCATTCAAATCTAATTTACACTTCATTTCCAAATATGTATTTCTGCCTTATTATGTACCTTGGAAAGAAAATTTAAGACTTTTCTTTCCAGGGTCTGATAGTCTACTTACAGACAAAATAACAGTAGTTATGTTATCCTGGAGCTAATCTCTTCCAAACACAGTAAGGATTCATCTTGAAGTGACATTCTGGCTGTGTGAATTCCTGGTCAAACCCAGAAATAACAACTCACCCAAAATGAAACTCAGTTTAAAGAAGAAAAATAAAAAAGGGTGAGAGGGCGAGAATAGCCTGGAAGTATCAAAAGTAAATGAAGAAGTTCTTGACTGAGGGACCTGAAATAAGGAGCAGAGAGGAGAAGCTTTGCCACAGTGACAGCAGGGAGTACTTTGTCAGTAACGAGGGAACCTCCTTCCCTCACAAATATGAATACATCTGAGGAGAAGGAGAGGCCATTAGGAGAACATATTTATATTTCTGTATATCACATGCCATAGCACCCTGCCCAATAATTTCTACACCTAAAAATTTGATCTATTTAGGTAAACTTTTCAGAAAATAGTTCATTTGCACTTAGTGACTTTTAGCAATGAAGTCATGTCCTTAGGTTTGGACATATGGAGATCTGGGAAAGGTAATGAAGAAAAGCAAGCACATTGTCCCCAGAACAACATTTGATGAAAAGCAGTGTATACTCTCTATGCAAAAAAACATTCCAGAAATCATGAACTGAAAAAAAAAATTGAAAACCATATCTCCCACGATATTGCTCCAATAAAAATCTTTATTCTTCTTATTAGTTTAAATTTGTACAGCTTCAACCGCTATTTCTTATTATCTCTCTTTTCCTAGATTAAAAGATGATCTACTAATAGAAATTTCTTCCTTGTGCAGATGCTATTAATAGGCAACTTGCTAATAGTCTGACCTTTTAATTTGCTTAATCTTAGATTGTTTTTTTTTAAACTCCAATCATTCTTTTAGCTCTTTTCAGAGCTGTTCCCAAGCTTTTATGTTCCTGCTCCAGCAGGGGGATTGGACTAGATGATCTTTCAAGGTCCCTTCCAATCCCTGTGATTCTGTGATCTTTTGTAGAAATGAATACCAAAGAATAAGGCAAAATATCTTGTGACAATTTCTATCACACCAAGCAGTAATACCTTCTTATTATTGCTATTTGATATTCTAACATTCACCTACATAGTAATTACATTCACTCTCTTTTATCTTTTGATGCACCCGAACAGGAAGTTTCTATATGATATATGCCAACAGGGCTGGCTGACTACAAACTGAACTCTACATTCCTGATCATCCTGTACTCGGAGTACGTACCACATATTCTGCACTTCCCTTACCACTTTTGCCTTTTCTTTCAGGAAAAAAATAAAAAAAATCACAACCAAAGTATTGGGAAGATGCAAACACACTGTCAGCTCAGCATACTGCCAGAAATCATA